TCTGTCGCTCCGTCTATGCGTTTTCTTTCCATCGAAATAAGGTTGAATCAAAAGTAACACATGACAAAAGAGGGATAGAATAACTGGGGGATAACACAAAAAAAAAAAAAAAAAAAAAAAAAAATTAACTGGGGGATGATGTAGCACTGCCTGAAATATTGACAAATTCTGCAATTAAGATGCTTCCTTTGGAGGTGACTGGACAAACCTTAACGGTGACTGGTAAAACCGAAATACTTGATTTATCTTATTATTGTTGCTTTTCTTTAAAAAAACTCTAGTTTCATAACTTCATTATTCATCATTGTAGTAGCAAGTTCAACATTGTTGTTAGATTAGTCTACATGATTAGCGAATTTGATTGACACTTAAGGACTGATAAGTTTCATGTCTCTTCCCAATCTAGACATGTAGTATTGAAGTGTTATATTGTTTCTCCTCTTGTTACTCTTTTCATTAATAAATAAGTTTTCTTTATAAAAACTCAGGGATTTGAAACGACTAAATCATAAAGAGAATTAAGAGAAGTTAATTAAACCTAATAAATGAGTAAATAAGTGAAACAAAATAATTCGTAACAAAATTTAAATGACTGAACAAATAAATCTCTCTAATTGATTCATGGGCTTAACGGAGTAATGAACGTATTAGACAAATATGAAAGATGACGTACATGGGCTTAAAGTTAAAGTAGAACTAATTTTCTCTTTGTTACACCAAGATTTTTTACATGTCATTTAAACCCTTGCCCTTATTCTTGCTTAGGAATTCCTTCTTGCTTATAATAAAATGGTAAAAGGTCAAATAGGCATTCGAATTAACTTAAAAAGTGCAATTCACCCCTTATATAGGAGGTTCTGTTCAGACGTCACCAATTGGGACGGTTCCCGGTGGAATTTTTTGATAAATTTTTTTGAGCATCTTCTTCATTAAGTCTAGTTTACTCATACCAAATTTCAACTAAAAATTTAATCGGGAAGGCAGTCAAATGAATTTTCGAAGATAATTGCACAGTGCATTTCAGAAAATCATTTGACTGTCTTCCCGATTGTTTTTTTATCTGAAATTTGGTATAGGTAAACTAGACTTAATGAAGAAGATGCTAAAAAAAATTGATCAAAAAATTCCGTCGAGAACCGCTCAAATTGGTGACGGCCGGACATAGTCTCCTATATAAGGGGTGAATTGCACTTTTTAAGTTAGTTCGAGAGCCTATTTGACCCTTTAGCCTAATATTTTATATTTCATTATTATATATTTATACGTAGTACTACGTACTACGTACTACGTACTACGTACTACGTACTCCGTATATTTTATTTAGATTAAAACTCCTACGTTCACAATGTGTTCTCTTGACAATATTAGAATTCCTACAATGTGATTCATTCACAATGTCTTTTTCAATTGATTTTCGAGCTTTTGTTGCCGTGGCCCTCGGTTACCTTTCAAGCAAGAAGCGACAAGTAATCCTGCAAAATCAAGAATAATACCAACTTTAAAAATTGGGAAAGTTCCCGAAATAGGACTAAAAAAGTTTGAAAATTCCAAAATAGGACTGTCATGTTTTTATTACCAAAATAGGACTAATTACTGCCAAATGTGGAAAATACTGTCATGTTTGAAGTCTGGTACTGCCAAAACATGACAGTAATTAGTCCTATTTTGGGAATAAAAACATGGAAGTCCTATTTTGGAATTTTCAAACTTTTTTAGTCCTATTTCGGGTAATATCTCTTAGAAATTCCTTTTAATAATACCAACTATTTGAATATATATCAAAAGTGATATATAGCAAATTTTCAATAAAAATTAGTTATTTAATTCATCAAAAACTATTATCAAAATATCAAATAAGCGACCGTATTTCCAAATATGAATTATTTGATGATTTGATATTAGTTTTTGATGTCTTAAATGGTTGGATTTCTTGTAGAAAAGTGACTATTTTATTTTTAGTTTACATTCAGATAGTTGATGTTATTAAAAGTTGAGAAAAAGGTCAAATGAGATCATCCACTATTATGAAACCGTCACATAAGGCCATTACTCAATAAAGTGTCATATAAATATGTCTATTTATAAAAAGCAATGGGATGTAGGCATGGACCGGTTCCGGGCCTAGCCGAGCTTCGGGCCGGTCCAAACCGGGCTTTTTTGTTTGTGGGTAAAGGCCCGGAACCGGCCCGGGATTCCACCGGGGCCGGGCTCGGGTCGGGTTTTTTTTTTTTTAGCTTTTTTAATTAATTCCAACCCCCCTCCCCAAACACCCAACCCGCCTACCACCCAAAAAATATGGGGAAAAAAGGGCCCGGCCCGGCCGGTACCAAAGGTGGTGCAGCCCTGAACCGCCCCCAACAATCCCCCCGAGCCGGTCCTAGGCCCGGAACCGGTCCCGATTAACCGGGCCGGTCCCGCACAGTGGCGGTCCGGTCCGGTTCCCGGGCCGGTCAGACCGGAACCTGGCCACCCATAATCGGATGGGTCCTAATGACGTGTTGACAAACTCGTAATCCCGATTTTAACGTACGTCTGACAAACTTTTTAAAATAGATTATAAGGCTAACGTGAAATGTTTGGTCAAAGTTGGCTTGAATACAAAACAAACACAACGACACGTAATATAAAATCGGAATTAGGAGGTTATAAACGGGACGTTTTGACTCATCCGATTTATTTTTATAGGTAGACGTATTTTGTATGACACTTTATTGACTACATGACCTTATGTGACAATTATGTAACGGTAGAATGCCTTATTCGACCCTTATCTCTTAAAAGTTAATTCTAAAGTAAGTATTATTCTTGGTTCATGGAAGATGGTTGATATCACTGTTCTAAAAATCGCTCTAGGCGCCCGACTAGTCCCCGCCTAGGCGCTAGGCGGTGGCCGGGCGCCCCGATTTTCGCCTAGGCGCTCCGTCTAATTGGTTTGGCGCCTAGGTGAATTAGTTAGCTGCCTAGGGCGCCCAGTTTCCCGCTTAGAGCGCCTAATCGCCGCCTAGGGCACCTAGATTCGCCGAACAATATTTTATTTTTAAAAATTTATTTTTGTAAGAGATAAATGTATCTTTAACTTTAATCACAAATATGAGGAAAGATACTTCTAGATAAAAAATATATATGTTTGTATATATACTTAAATATTATTATTGTTTAATATTTATAACATAATGCAATTAATCATATATTGTTGCATGTTACAATTCTATCATTCATGCATGATAATGTGTGTGTATATATTTTTCACACACAACCACGATACTACAGTTTTACTATGTACTACTTATCATATTTATGCGAAAATATTCATAAAAATACAATTTATGCGTCTCCGATTAGTCCCCGTCTAGGCGCTCACCTAGCCGCCTAGGCGTTAGGCGCTGGGTTGGCGCCCGACTAACGCCTAGTCTAGCGCCTTTTAGAACATAGGTTGATATTATTTAAAGTTATTTTCTCAAAAATAATTGCATCTATATCCAATCATCATTTCACGGAACGAAGCCAAAAGCACACCATCCTGGAATGTGGTACTCGTAGTATTTTTCGAAGGAACAGGACAAATTCTTGTGTTTCGTGTAGTCTCCCGCCAAGTAGAACCAATCAATATGCGACTTCTGCAAGGGATGACACGGCTAGGCAGGGCTCAAAGTCTCAAACTGATGAGCTTTGCCGGTACATAGAAAGTTGGGAGGAAACCATTTACTCTCATTGTCTTGGACAATTCACTTTTTAGTCCTATTACCCGAAATAGGACTAAAAAGGGTTGCAAATTCCAAAATATGACTTCAATATTTTTATTTCCAAAATAGGACTAATTACTGCCATGTTTTGGCAGTACGAGACTTCAAACATGGCAGTATTTTCCAAATTTGGCAGTAATTAGTCCTATTTTGGGAATAAAAACATGGCAGTCCTATTTTGGAATTTTCCAACTTTTTTAGTCCTATTTCGGGAACTTTCCCATTATTATTGTTAGAATTTTTGTTATTTTTAGTCCTCCAACTATTATGTAACTGACATTTTTCGTACTCAACTTTGATTTTTCTACTTTTAGTCCTTCGACTATTGTAAGAAAGATACTTTTGGTCCGTTTTTGAAAATTTCCATATTTCATCATCCGACAATCATAAAAGTAACACTTTTGAATCAACTCTTATAATAGTGACATTTTTAGTCCACTTTGTGTCAAAATCATATTGGAAGGACTAAAATTGTCAAATTGATAATACTTAGGGGACTAAATTTGAGAAACTTTGAAGTCGAAAACTAAAAGTATCTCCTACGCAGTAGTTGAGGACTAAAATGGAATAATTGAAAGTCGACTACCAAAAGTGTCACTGACTCTAAAGTCGGAGGATAAAAAATGGAAAAAAAACTTTTATTGTTATCAGTTGGTCGAGTGATGGGAAATTTGGATCAATGGACCAAGATTCGAATCCCCACAGCAACCAGGTGAAGGTTACAGAACCTGAATAAAGCTGGACCTCTAGCGTGCACAGATGTATGGCCTACTGCTACTTTGCTGGCTGAGTCACCGTGACTTACTCATTCACCATATTGTCGGGTCGAGATGTGGGGGCTCCTGGGGTGGGAGATTCCACCTTTTGGATCAATGGAAAAAACTTTTATTGTTATTAATGTAGTCAGTTTTCAAAACTCTTTCGGTGGTTATCTTAGGTGTTCAAAATTTGACATTTGATATTTGATAAAATAACAAAAACAAAAAGAAAAAAAGATTGAGAATCAAGGTTGTATCGAAAGTTTTCTAGGTTGTACTCGGTAAGCCTATTAATCAATTATTATACCCGGAGTAATTATTATACTACTGTTTTTTAATCATTTTTAGCAAATTATTATACTATTATTATGAGAAATCATTTTTTTATCCAAAAACAGTCTCTTTGTGATTTAGTATAGGGATAAGGCTGCATACATCCTACCCCCTTACCCTATCGTAGGTGGGAGCCTTTGCGCCACTAGGATAAACAAAACTATGATGATGATTATGAGAAATCGTTTTTTAGAGTTTTGCAAATATTCAAAAACCAGGCCTTCTTTGTTTCACAAAATAGTTGCTATATTGATGTTAAGTGCATCTACACGAGTAAAGTTACAGAATGAAGTTATACAACAGCCAAACATGGCATGTGTTTCTATCCTATCATTTTATCAGGTTTACTAGTCGCATTTTCTTTCCACTCAACATATAGGTTTCTGTATACAAACCATCAATATCACTTGATTCATCCCAACTGGTGATTCGAGTGTCAGTTTCAGTTGATGTTTGAGCTTGTTGCCACGGCCAGCCTTCGAGCAAGAAGTGATTCATAATCCTGCAAAAAATTGAATCACTCCTATTGTCTATGTTCCACAGAATAAGGCTTTACAAACCATATTGGAATCACTCCTATTTACGATGTTTGACCGACGATAAAGCAAATTGATCTCTGTCAACACTCAAGTTAGTTTTAGAAAATAAAATTTACATATTCAGAAACTACATTAAAATCGCTACAAAACCTGCAAAAAATAATTCAAATTTCATAAAACTTTGATATACGAGTATAAAGTAAGAGATTAAGAGTGATATGTGTTGACCAAGTGAATATGAAAGGTATCTTATAAAATGGGACTGAGAAAATGGGACTGAGGGAGTAGTATTTTGGGGAAGATGATTGTTGATATTAAAGTTACTCTTGCCTTTAAAATTGCTTGTGCACATAGCTTTCCTGATAGAACGGCACCTTCCATGGAAGCCAAATACTTCTGTTTCGTATAGTCTCCGGCCAAGTAGAACCCCTCAATAGGCGACTTCTGCAAAGGACGACATGGCTCACATCCTGGCACTGTCTTGTACACTGACCTAAATTTTAAAAACAAAACGGTAAGGTTTGTGGCTAAGAAATAATCAAATGGAATGTAATAATGAAATGCTCTCTGTCCCTTAAAATAAGAAATTTGCTTTTACAAATTATGAATGACCATTCGTATCACTATAACTTATTTCCAAGATTGTTTGCAGTAACTGACAAATACCTCTTCATGCTTGGCTTTAAGGAATTTAACGTAAAAATGAAAGTTGAATTACATGAATTGTAAAACCAGATTTCTTCTCTTTAGGATTTAAAAAGAGTATATTTTAGTGTAAATTTATATAACACATGCATTTGATAAATTTATATTACAACTTGCCACACGTTAACTAGGAACACCGTGCCTGTGTGCCAACATCGTATGTGTCTTACCTCGGAGTTTTAACAATATGGTACTTCACTATTTTTGCTTTGCTCTGATCAGCTGAAATCTCATCAGGAAACAACTTTGCTAGTTCTTGCATTGTCGCGTCTATAATTTCGGTGTCACTTCGCGAGATCCATTCTTCTGCCGGTGCAAACACCAATTCCAACATAGACTTATTGGGATCATAGTATTCCTGTGTGAAAAAGAACAGTCATACCTAAGCTTACCTCCCTTATAGATTGAGAGAAAAATAAAATGTCTACTGGATGGTAGAGCTGGAATGGGACTTGGTATTTTCCAAAAATAAACAGCTGCATTAGTACCTTACATGTTACCGACATGTCAGCATACACACTGAGAAGTGAACTTCTGCAAGAAAATGAAAGATGCATTAAAAAGATCAGCTATCGATGTCAGTGTGAAAGGATATCAAGTAAAACGTCTCAAATGAAGTAAATGTGCCAAGGGAAAGAGTTGAATGGACAGACCTGCTAAATAGGAGATGATCATATGTGTTCCTCAGTTTTCTATCAAACCTGCAATTTTAATTAGCTAACCCACTATGAAACAAGTCAATTCTTACATAAGTCATATTTTGGTAAAGGAATAGATATGCTAATGACTGAAACATGATAAAATGCTTATGCGCCTTAAATCTGTCATTAATTCAAGGTAAGAGTTATATGAAAACGCCAATCAGAGTCAGTTAAATTTAGAAAATGGAAGTTCACCTAACAGTTCTCTTTTTAGTTGGTTTGGAGATTCTTGGAACAACCAAATAGTAAAACAGTCATATTTGTATAATATATATATACACTGCCGTAGCTAGGGATGTTGGGGACAACCCAGCGCCTGGCCCAACCCTAGTTCGACAAAACCTTATTTTCTGCGTAAAGTTTGTACTATAATTTTGTTAATTCATTATGAATGAGTGGAGTGTCCGGGCTACACCATGCTCATGTAATTATCTCATAGATACATCACTAGCATACACGTAGATAATACATGCAAAAGGGTGTGAGAGTAGAAAACTTCAAAAAATTCCAACTGACCATATATGCACATTTATTACAGGAACCCCAACTAATTTTGCCAGCTTTTTGAAATATGGGATCTCTTTCCAGTCCTCGGGCAAAAGAAGCTTCAGGACATCAACTAATTTGATAATAAGAAATTAGTGAAATTTTGAGGCCTAAAATGTAGGAAGACTAGGAGTTGTTATCAGTTTACCTGGCGTAGCAAACACAAAAGCATCTCCATGAATAACAGCTCCATTATTTAGAAGAAAACTGTTGACACTCCCATCTTCATTCAGCTGAATCTTATTTACACGTGAATTAAGACGAACATGTCCACCTTGTGACTCAATATGTTCAACAATCGGCAAGCAAAGTCTTTCTGGTGGATTTCCATCTAAAAATGCCATCTTTGAACCATGTTTCTCCTGTGCTTAATATATTTCAATATATATAAAAATCTTGAGATGTATACCTATCACCCCTGTGATAATTTAAACTATTATGGTATGCACAATATATCAACTTAATCATGAATGCCAGTTCTCCTTGTGCTACCTCCAATCCCAGTTAGGCCTCCAAAAATTTGGAGGGGGGAAGGGGATATTCTGTGTGTAAGAGCAAGTCCAAGACATTTTTTGACCATCTGTTTAAACTCTTTTTGTTTATATATTTCTATCATATAGTACAAAATATAAACTTTAGTACGAAACCGAGAGGTCACGGGTTCAAGTCTTGGGAGTGGCCTCTTGTCAAATTTGTCATGGGAAGGCTTGCCCCTTATACACCCTTGTGGTTGGGACCCTTCCCCAGACCCTCGCCTTACAGGGATGCCTTTGTGCACCGGGCTGCCCTTTTTTAAATAAATTTTAAATTTCTAATCAAATTTGATTTTTCTTTGGATTTTCGAAGTTACACTCCAGCATTAACTCATTAAATAAACTAATTTCCATTAAGATTTTTTTCATTCTTCTACTATTTTACATGTTGCAAATATAGATTACAGATAGCATTTAAAAACAATTTTCCGTTCTGATTTTTCCCTTCTGCGTTCCAAGCAGACTACAAATATTTTATTAATCCCTCTCAGTACTTCCAACTTTAATCAAACTTGTGTCTTGGTGAAAGTGAATTATCTTCGAGCTCATACATGAATTGTATTGAAAATTTATCTCCCAAATAAGAAAATTAAAGTAAATTAAGCCTCAAATTGCAAAAAACAAAAGAAAGCATATTGCTTAAAAAATAGTACTCCGTCCATCCCGCTAAGATTGTCGCATCTTTCCTTTTCGATCCGTCCCACTAAGAATTGTTCCATAACAATTTCGGTAAAATTTGTGATGTTTTAAATCATTCTTACTTTATCAATTCAATATCAACCATATAAACCCACTTTTCTAAATAACCGTAGCACCTCCTCATGTTCCAATGTTAGTGGGACGCATGTAGTAATAAATACGTCTGCGGCAGAAAAAAGTGTGAAAAATACACTGAAAGTGTATGTGTACGAGTGTGTCTCAGTGTCTGTCACTCTGTCTTGGTTAAACTTCTCACCTCAGGCCCCACATTTCATCAATTCAACCCAGGTTATACCTCACGGCCTCACTCAAAGTTATTCTTCCATGAAGTCAAGGGAAGTATGCATTTCCCCCCTTTCCCTTCATTGGTCTTAGCTGGGGAGGGGGAGTGGGGTGGTCGCATGAGGATCTAACCTGAAGAAATCTGTTTAAAGCAATCAATATGCACTGCATGGACAGCTCATCAGGATTAATGAAATTCAGAGCCTTTGACATGGCAATGAACACTTCATCACTGACCCTTTCTGGTATCCCCTGAAAAATAGGACAGTGGATATTTAAATTGCACTGCCCCTCCTTACTGGCCCCAACATAAGACAAAAAGAATCTTAACAATGCTTTAATAAGAGAGGGTTACATACTTGCTTTCTCATCCAGTCCTTAACGGATATCCCATCTTGAGCTTCAACATAAGACTGTCCTCCAAGCATTGCTGGCAATAGACCAATAGCAAACTTCACTTTCTCTGGCCAGCTAAGCATTTCATTGTTCTTTAGGATGGCCCACAGCCCTGCCAATAATATAGGAACAGACACACAAGAAATTCCTGATCACTCTACATTTCATAACACCGTTGGATTGACAATTTTGATAATCTCACCATTAAGTGGAGCCGGTAAAGCTTCAGGGAAATCAAACCGGCTGAACTGTCCTGGTTTGCTGGGCATCGCAAATATCATAGAATGTTCCTTCCACTGCAAACGGTCATTGATACCTAGTTCTCCAAACAGGTTCTGCATATTTGGGTAGGCCCCAACTTAAAACAGAGACTAGTTTCAATGGACCATTTCAAACACATATCAAGAACGGGGCACACAAGACCTTAATACAGACAATAGTGAAAATTTAATTTAAAAAACAATGACAGCGTATAGGTCCCTTAAGGCTATGTTTTGATCCCGAAAAATGCTAGGTATAGGTAAGGGAGAAAATGCCAAGGAAAATCATTTTCTATTTTGTTTTACCTTGAAAAGTTAAAAGGAAAATGAGATATGACATTCTTTACATATATTTCTCAATATCTTCAAATAAGTAAATGAGTATCAGGAAATATTTAAACCAAATTTGTTGAATACTAGCTTATCTTTTATTTTCCTAAACATTTTTCCTTCCAATTGTCCACAATGGTCTACTTCTATATTCTTTCCATAGGTGATAGGTCAAAAGAAAGTAACAAAAGAAAAAATGAATAAAAATGTTGTTTGAATGAGTCATCTGAAATGCATCATATGACTGTATGTTGCCAGTAAAAAAGACCACTTGGACATTCTTAATATGTGCCAAAGGAATTAAGCATGATAAAAAAACAACTAAAAACAACAACAAACAAGTCATTTGTTTGAAACATTTTTAAAGGAATGGTACAAAAATGAGAGACTTCAGTCCTGAAAGCAGCAACCCATAAAATAAGGTACAACTAAAGAATTAGTAGGTTTCTCTTGTATGAAAAAGAAATGTTTAAAACTAACTTAATCTAAAGAGGGATGTGAGAAAAGAAAAAAAATGACGAAGAAAGAAAAATTGAAAGTAACTGAATCTAAGGTTACTGAAGCATGTATCTAAAATGCTAGAATCAGAAATCAATATGCATAATAATATGGCATGTAACTTACAGAATATGTGCAAGCCAGTCTCATACCAGTCCCCATCGTCGTCTTTCCATGCAGCTACCTATAAATCAAAGAGACTAAGAGAGTAAATGTACAATTTTCTAGTATGAGAAAATTGAACATTTAGAGCACGTGTTACTCCATCTGTCCCAATATATAAGCCCCAACTTTTTAGCATGCAAATAAAGGAAACAAATTACTATTTGGTTAGTTTCCATCTTTACCTTAAAATGTGGGTAACTTATACAAAAAAACTGGGCAAACCGTTCAGAAGGTCAAATGAGATAAGTGTAAAGTAGAAAAGGTAGAAAACTAGTTGAGTTGAAAAAAGAGAAGTTGATATAATTGTAGGACCCAGAATCTTTTGGGATTAAGGCTTGGATGTTGTTGTTGTAGATATAGCTGTAGGACGAAGAAGAAAACAAAAAGGGAAACTGAGACTAGTACAATTGGACAGGAGGTTGTAGAGTCTCACCAACCTTACCACCCAGCACATCTCGTGCTTCCAATAGTATTGGTTTATGACCAGCATCTGCTAAATATTTTGCAGTACATAACCCAGCCAACCCTGCAAGCATAAAAATACCCAACAACATATTCAAATGCCATAGTAGCTTTCATTATAATAATGAACATCTGTCCTTTCAAAGTTCACTTGTCGTTAAAGGCTTAAACCATATATAATGTAGTGGCATACCACAGGCACATCCATGAAGCTATTGAAGTAAATTTAAAAAGATTAATGGATGAAATTCAATCACATCCAACAGGTGGCGTTTTATGTAAAGTTCAATTTGGTAGAGTTTGCTACTTTCTACAGGAAAAGTGTTTAGTAACATCCATTTCAGCCGTATTTGTAAGTCAAGTCAAAATCCAAATATTCCGCTTATTAGATTGATACGCAGATATAATAAGTTGATAATGCCCATCAAATGGACCCAGAGTCATCAAATGTTAAATGCTTTTCCTTGAAAATATGCATATTAATGTTTAATTGGCTGGATGCTTAAACTTTTACCTTTTGCACCCAAAATAATTGAAGTTTTAGAAAAGTACACACACACTAAAAAACATTACAAATTAACTCCTTTATTGTTATTTAGGCTAAAGGGTCAAATAGGTACATGAACTAACTTAAAGTGTTCAATTAACCCCTTATAAAGGAGTTTCTGCCCGGACGTCGCCAATTGGGGCGGTTCCCGGTGGAATTTTTTGATGAAATTTTTTTAGCATCTTCTTCATTAAGTCTAGTTTACCCATACTAAATTTCAGCTAAAAATTCAACCGGGAAGGCAGTCGAATGATTTTCCGAAATGTACTGCGCTGTTTAATTTTTCAGAAAATCATTCGACTGCCTTCCCGGTTGAATTTTTAGCTGAAATTTGGTCTGGGTACACTAGACTTAATGAAGAAGATGCTCAAAAAAATTCATCAAAAAATTCCACCGGGAACCGCCCCAATTGGCGACGTCCGGGCAGAAACTCCTATATATGGGGCTAATTGAACACTTTAGGTTAGTTCATGTACCTATTTGACCCTTTAGCCTTGTTATTTAAGTGCAACTTTAAATGCATTTTATTTCTTTTCAAAGTACAAAAGCATTTAATGTAGAAAGAGTTCATGTGAGCACATAATTCAGATTTAGTAGAAATGCATTGAATTCAAAAACAGCAATAATTTGAGGGCAATTTTTATGTTAGCTAAAATGATGGTTAGTTTGGTAATTCGAATAATTTTTTGCTCAGTGAGCAGAAGTTATAATTCGAATAAAATGAAGTGGTGTAGTATTTGCTAATATTATTCTAATAAATCAGAAGCAGCAGAGGTAACAAGAAAATATACTTGAGACTTTGAGACAAATTATAATAAAAATATACCTGCACCAGCAATAACAACTTCTAATGGTTTGCTTGGGCGTGAAGCAGAACGAAATGATGAGGACAAGTAAGCAGCTTCAACATAGTTAACTCCATTCTCAAGCTCCGGCCTTGGGCAGTCCACGCAGACTACCTATGTTACATATAGGACTCAGATTTTCAATTTTATGTTATGGATTTGATTCAGGTTTATATAACATGTAAATCAGACCTTCAAAGGGCGAAACTCCCTGCCTAATCGGGTCATACCACCATTACTGCTAGCTGGAAACCTCAACTTAGAGCCCATCGAATAGCTGGCTCCAAATGATATTTGAAAGTTCGAAAGGGTAGCTGTCTTACCTTGTGGGCTCAAGCTAACAGCAGAAACATGTCCAACATGGGACATTTTGCCAAGTAAAATGTTATTACTTTGGGGTAACACACACTCTCTTCAATGATATCAGTTCAACAATGCTCCAACACCACTAATCCTATCATTAAATGGCAAAAACAATTAGAAGCAGATTTCTGAAATTCTTTAAATGAAGAAATTAGATCAATATGAACTATTGTAGAAACTAAAAAGCATAAAAACCATTCATTGGGCATAACGGATAAGTGATCTGAATATAGCTTGCTTAATACACAACAATACAACACCGCCTTAAAAGTTGGAGTAAGAGGGCATTTGGTGCTTCTGTATGAATTTTACATGTGAAATTAATTCGTAAGAAATTGGTTCCAACACCAGAAAAAGAAATGAGGCATATTTTCAAGTGTTTGAAGAGTAGGGAACATTGAACACATGCTCACCTTAGAGTGTTAGATATGGTATGTCTTTGTTTTTAAGAGAAATCGTATAAAATTTCAAATGCGCCCTTTGTTCAAATTATTAGTTGTAGAACACATCCAATTATTCAAATCACTTGTACACTCATATAATACTCTAAGTCATTCAAGATTGAGATCATTCCAACACTACCCATGGAAGCAGCCAATATCATGAGTAGCCACAAGCACTGCATTTTGTTTTGAGAACCCCATCACAATTCATAAATTATAAACAATTAAGCACTTGAACAAAATATAAAATTAAAGTATGGCAAGTTAACATGTATAATTCTCATGTTCGCGTGATCAGAATTTTAAAACAAAACATACCCATCAACTAAAATTGCAAAAATTGAATCAATAAAATCAAAACAGGTATAAAATTAAAGACAGAAAAAATGTAAACTAAAATCAGAGAAATGTAAGGAGGCATTAAAATAAAGTTCTTTGACATACAAAATAACACAGAGTTAGAGACGTTGAAGTATAATATCGTAATCTAAGCACATCAACCGAAATATGTATCAATTTTTTAAAAAAAAATAATATTAATGGAAATCAGTAAAACAAACACATCAACAGAAACAAAATACTAAAAAATTGAACTTCAACCGAAACATCTTTGATGAATGTAACAGGACGAAATAATCAAATAACTAAAGCAATAGTTCTAAGGTAATACCAATAGACACTAACCAGTTGTAACGCAGGCTAACACTCTAAACAGATAAACAGCGGAGAGCATAGTTGATCAAGATCTCAGTGAAAACTCTATAAGAACAAAAGAAAAATCCTAACAATTGTTCTTCAGCGAGAGTAAAAGAAAGAATTCGAGGAAATTATCCTACCTTAGAGGGAAAACAACAGTAGGAGAAGGAGAGCTGCACAGTAGATTATGAATTTCAGCTCACATTCGTTAATTTTGCTTTTTATGAAAGAAGAAGATATAATGGGGAGGGAAATGGCCGCAGAAGTTTGGGGGCCGGAATTCGGTTTCTGCTTATGCAACGTGTCGAACTGTTAGCGGTGGATGGTTGAAACAGGCTCAATCCGGATGGGCTCGTTTAGCCCATGTTTAATGGCATGTTTTCATGGGGCATGGTGAGTTCATGATGCTTCGATCCACACAAAAATGTGAGTCTTTTCGGCCTAGTCTGTTTAACATGTGTGCTACTTGATTGGCCAACATTACAATTTGACATCATTATTAATAAAGTGATTGAAAAGTATAAATTGAAATTAAAGTATAATAAAGTAAATTGACAAGGACTATTAGAGCATCTCCAATGGGGTAGTGGATTGGAGGAAAGTCTATCCTACGTGACATAGGAGAGAGATAGAATGATTATTTTAATTTAATATGGAGAAAGTGGTATGTATAAAAAATGAAAGGAAGAGAGAGATGAGAGCAAATTGTAGACAATGTCTACGACAATGTCCACAAATAGACTTTACACGGGAATCGAGGAACAAAAGTGGATGAAAAGTGGGTTAAAAGTGATATAGAAAAATGAAAAACGAAATAAATGTGAAGATATGTAGGGGCGGATCTGCCAAGGGCCGGGTGGTCGGTGCCCTTGCTCCAACGATCCAAATTCCAAGTATAGAGGTGGGGCCTGGGCAGAAGGGGGGCTTCTAGGCCGCGTGTCGGTGAATTCGGCGCGGCAGCTGAAGCTTGAAGTTCAATGCAGAGGTGAATCCAAAAGGAGTGAAGGAGTGTTTTCTAATATGTAAACGGCGTCGTTCGACGTTCCCTTATTAAAAAAAGGTAACTCTAAATATAACTCATTTTTTACTAAATGCAGCCACTAATTAAATTAAATGTCTATTATATCCCTATTATTGTCCCCAATGCTCTCTTTGTGATGGCGGATCTTCAAGAATGACGTTCGGGAATAGCTTAACAAAAAGGTTCTTGCTTAAGCAAGAAAGCTGCCGCTGTGATTGGTCAAAAACTACAACAGCGACCAAAATGGTAATTCAACACCATACTCTTGCTTCAGCAATAGGGAAGGTCTCCTATTCAATTGTGTTATCCTCTGGCACAAAAAAAAACTGCTAGATAGAACAGTGCACTGCCTAGAACTCTTTTACAAATCAACTCCAAGCCGCAGCTCACCAGCAAAGATCTTTTGCATACATCATCAAGCGACCAAACTCATCCTTTCCGATCAAACAAATCAGCAACTCCAACGGAATGCGGACATTTTTCTTCTTCAAGAACGTCGTCCAGGAACGACCTCAAAATTTCAGTTAAAACGACGCGAGCGGGAAGCTTGTTCCGTCCTTCCGTGAATGTATGTCCTCGTCCGGCTCCAATCAAAGAGAGAGTTGTCGCCCAATCCAGATCATATGCCGCCCACCGGTCACCATAGCACATTTAGCCGTTGTGCCGGCAAGCCTTAGCCGTCCCTCATTTCTCCATGACCTAGTGCAAGTACCAATTCGCCTCAGAGCAGGTCACCCGCAGATTTTCCAAAACAACTAAACATTCAACTATCTAAACAGATTACCACCAAAGTCCGGTAGCCATCCAGTACAAAGAGGAGAGGATCGGGGCATGATATGGATATAATAGACATTTAATTTAATTAGGGTTGTATTTAGTAAAAGCTGGACTGTATTTCAAATTACCCTAAACAATCAGGTTCAGGGGCACTTAAAAAATAAATCAGCCCAGCTTCCGACGGCCCAAATCCGGAAAAGCCAAGTAGCCAAGCCAACGAAGTGCGTGAATGCAGACCGCGTGAAGGACTCCATCGACAATCAGTGCAGCGGGACTCCAGACCGCCGGAGACTTCCCGCCGAGCCCTCCGCCCACCGTCCCCGCCGCCTGTAGTCGACAGTTCGGCCCTTCCGCTTCCCGCCGTCCCCGCAGTCAGTTTTTTCCATATTTGCCCTTCGTAATAAGCTTAACGATTTGGCATGCCATTGTTTCCATTAATAAAAAAGTGACGGAAAAAGTTTATGAACATTTGGTACAATCTGAAGTCGAGTCTCGTCTCCTTTTGCTATCCATACACCCTTTCTTAACAATTATTGTCGAAAACTTTTGACTATGGGTGTTATGTTATCTTAATTAATCATTCTCTTGGCATCATACTTCTTTCTTCTTTACTTTACAGCTAGAACGGCACACAATCTCAGCTCCAGGTTGGTCGTTTTTTTCCTATCTCTTTCCCACTTTTTCCAATTTTCTATTATACCTTCTTCTAACTTGGTTTAATTTTTCCAATATATTAAAGTGTCCGTCTCACCGTCCTTCCATCCACGTCCACATATATATAGGTTCGGCATCGCCCCCTCCTCTTTCGTTTCGTCTGGTTTGACAACACCTATCTGTATAGTTTACCATGTTTTAAGTTTATTTGATGTCAATTTCCTAAATTGTTTCATGTATTTGATTTATCTGTATTTTGATGAGAACGGCCGCTGCTCAACGAAGAGAGAAAGCTAAATGATCGATTGGTCGATTGACACTTATTTCAGACAGCTAGTAAGCACAGTTACATTTATCTTTTGTGTTAAGTTTAAATTTAATCTGATTTACTATCTGATTTATGTTTTAATTACATTGTGTAAGTTATAGTTTGTTTTTTGATGATTTATACTCCGCCAACGTAGATTTCTTTAAATCTTTTCTTGCTTGCGAACTATTGTATTTACACTTAATTTCTTTAAACCTTTTCCTAATTCGCCTATTCAGCTTTAACTATTGTATTTAATCTAATCTTAACAGGTTTTAAAAATAAAATCTAGATGTAAAACTTCCTTTCAAGTTTCTCTTTAAATATGATACTACCTGTTATTTGACTGACTTTTAAGTTTTTCTCTTTAAATAGATGTTGAACTGAATAGATGATTTTACATATTCTGTGTCCTGTTCTATTTTAAAAGTGAATATAATATAATATAATATAAGTCTTTCAATTGACATTTTCAGCATTTCTGTTATGTTTTGTGTGTTGCATAAACATTGTTCCTGATCTCAACTTTCTATTAAATATATATAAATTGGTTCTATGATGGGGGAAATCAAACCTTCCATATCTAGGTGAAACTTTCCTTATGCACTCCTTGTAAGCTAAGTAGTATCAGTGTTCTCCAGTCTCGATATCAATGATATCCCTAGCTATCCAAAATCAGCCAACCTTTAAGTGAAATAGCTAGTGATTAAAAAGCTTAGTAATAAGTTTAAATATAATTTTGGAGTACTATAATTTTTAGCACCTACCAAATTATTTGAAATAGTGGTTCAGTGACACTAGACATTTCTTCTTCGTTTTCATAGGCAGTAACCACAGTAAACACAATCGGTGTGCCATTAAAGCCGTCATCCCCATGGACGTCAAACCTGTAATCAATACATAACTACATGATATGACATTCCTGATTTTGTATGTCTTATCATTCAAAGTTAGCTTGTTCTTGTATTTTGCCATCTCTCTTTTGGATACATTTGTAATGAGCTTTGAAGGAAAGTATGAACTTGAAACTGTCACACCTCATCTTAAGAAATAATTGTTAGAAATGTTTTCAGCAATGATTATTGAAGATAAATAAAAAACAATTACCCCTGTAAATTTTTGGTTTACAAAACAGAACGGAAGCTAACATAAAATTAGGATGTTTTTTGTAAGATTCTAGGATTGCATCCCCACAGTTGCCCCATGTGCACTTTCTTTAATTGCAATTTTTAGTCGGTTAACATTAAACCGAACCTTTGGAGAGAGTTGTTTCAGTTTTTAAATGCTTACTCATGATCTTCCAAAATAACTTCATATAACTTTTGACTTTAACCACTGTTCTCCTGAGCCTCTGTTTATGAATATTAACTATTCTTCCGACCACATATGGAAATTAAACAATGAAGTGATTAAAACCCTATTATGGCCAATTGAAAGAGCTTAATATAATTACACCTTACCAAAAAAGTTGTTTGTCATCAACTTGATCGCTGTGTCTAAGTTCATAAAACGACCAAAATAGCGTATAGTCTTTGGAAAGGTCCCATCAGAAAACTCCACCAAAGTTGTCTTGTAATTAAACATGATTTTAAACCTATATGTGGTGGTTTGTATTTTATTGTGTTAAGAGTAACATTGAAATTTCTAGAAATGTACGAATTTCCCTCTTTCAATCCATCCTAAAACTCAGCAACGCATTCCAGCCATTCCTTAACATGTTGGAAATTTCTTAGAATGTACGTAGTATGAATTTTCCTAAAAAAGTATGAATTTCCCCCTTTCAGCACAAATTTAATTAATATTATCTCACTCCAGGAAACTGATGGGTCACCACCCTAGTTTGTTGGAATCACTGAATGTGCGAGTTGTGGGCACCGGCGACAAAATCCTCGTCTTAGCCCACGGCTCTGGCACTGACCAGTCGGCGTGGCGGTCTATTTTCCCTCACTTTGTACGGAACCACCGTATCATCCTCTTCGACCTCGCTTGCGCTGGCAGCGTCAACCCCGACTGTTTTGACTTCCGGCGGTACACAACTCTCGACGCGTACGCTGATGACCTCATCAACATTCTCGACCTTCTTCAGATCGAGCAGTGCGCCTACGTCGGCCACTCTGTCTCCGCCATGATTGGAATCCTCGCTGCCATTCGCCGCCCTGATCTATTCTCCAAGCTCATCCTCATTGGCGCTTCCCCAAGGTAATTAATCAAGAACGATTATTATATTATTGTAGCTTTAATTTTCATGTTAATTCCACTATTATTTGTCCTAATAAAAAAGTGATGGAAAAGTTTATGAACATTTGGTACAATCTAAAGTCGGATATGGTCTCTTTTTGCTGTCCATACATCTTTTTTTAACTATCGTTGTAAAAAACTATTGACTATATGATGTTATTTTATCTTAATTAATCATTCTGTTGGCATCATATTTCTTTCTTCTTGACTTTACGAACAAGTTATTTTTATAAAAGTTGATACATAAACGTAGCTTTTATTGTTACATTTATGAAAGGTGAAACTACAAAAAGACCTTTTATTGTTATTATTGTTATTTATATTAAGTATGTAAACAATAAGAGAGTATTGAAGAAGTGAATTTCATTAAGTTGTTGTTATTTCATATAATTCCAGTCTATACGATCGATGAGCATATATACTGAAGTGATAAAATTAAATAAGCTTTTGTCTGAATCAAAACATAGTTCTTCACATCCAAAAGGAGCATCTTTTATGTTCAAATGAGCTTAATATTAAAAAATTAAAAATATTCTCGGCTGCAAAAAAGTATGTATTGTGGTCATACTATGATACGCAGTATCTGATAATATCATACTTTGATATAATGAAGGAAAGAAATAGTAAGTGAGAAAGTAGGTGAGAGAAGATAATTCAAGATAATATTCAGCAGTTTTGTCATTTTAGAAATGTTTTCTTTACCAGTAAAGTTGATAAGAATTGTTTCAAATTTTCAAGGTTCTCGAACGACGAGGACTACCATGGAGGATTTGAGCGAGAAGAGGTGATGGAAGTGTTCTCCGCAATGCAAGAGAATTACGAGGCATGGGTGAGGGGGTTTGCTCCGCTGGCGGTGGGAGCGGATGTACCTGCGGCAGTGCAAGAGTTCACCCGGACACTATTCAACATGCGGCCGGACATCACGCTGTTTGTGTCCCAGACGGTGTTCAACAGCGACCTGAGGGGGGTTTTGGGCCTGGTGAAGTGTCCCTCCCACATCATTCAGACAGCAAAGGATGCGTCGGTGCCTGCGTCGGTGGCGACGTACCTGAAGAACCACCTTGGAGGGCGGAACACGGTGCACCTCCTGCCCATAGAGGGGCACTTGCCGCACCTGTCTGCGCCGGGGATGCTGGCCCAGGTCATAAGGCAAGCTCTCGCCTCCGGACTGGGAAGTGAGTAGTTGTTGGGCCCGTGGGCTGCGGCCCGTAAGCTTGCTGTTTATTTCGGAGGAGAAACGAATAATGGGCATGTGGTCTACTTTGATCTATATAATCCTTCGAGTAATAATAGTGTTACTCCATACGTTTTACTTGATCTGTATATCATACTAGTACTACGTATGTTTTACTTGCAAAGTCACAAACTAACTCTTGTTTTTCTCATGTCAATTAAAAAATACCTTTTCTGACTAGAATATACTCGATAGTACTCCATATGACCATATGTTTAGCTCGTGCTTGAATTATATATTAAGTGCTTGATTAATTAATAATCATTCTTAAATAGTGAGAATCTGAGAATGAGCTCATGTACGTATCCGAGAGCTTTATGTGTGAACTTCTATATTATTGTGTACCTTTCAACTTCATTTTGAACAATTTTGAACAATTAAATACGACAGTATAAATTTAGAACAATTTATACGCTTGCATTATACGGAGTATATTACTACGTACAAAACACACCTTTAAGTTATACGATAGTATATCAAAACCTATGCAGTGCTTAATCATTTTGGACATGTTCTGACAATACAAATTTTGTGTTTAATTATTCTAAATGTAAGTTGAGAGGTATATTTGTTTTCTAACATATCGTTCAATTGTATATTTGTGCATCCTCCTTGATTATAAGAAATTATAGTAAAGATGTTTACATTTTAATACATACGTAGTACGGAGTATGTAATAAATAATTTGTCCTTATAATCTATATAGGTATTTGATAGACACGAGCTTGAACTGAACACTACTATATATTGAGGTCTTCTTGAAAAGAAGAAATAAAACATAAAACCCGCTTGTATTCAAACTTAAAGCTCTCAAAACTTGACTTATTAGACCATTTGGAGTGGTGAGGTATTAGGAGTCCAAAATGTGAAAATGGCATTTTTGGACTCCTAATTTCATACACTGGTGGAGTGTAGAGGGTATTAAAAATGGGTTTGGGGAGGGAATGAGTTAAATTTGGAGGAGTTTTGGACAGCCAAAAAGTAAATGGAAAAGAAAAGAAAAAGGGGGTGGGGGCGTACCTGATGTGCGCAGGCTGGGAGCACACGGCTGGCAGCTGAGTAATTTTCCTCGCTGATGTCATGTTCATGTCAGCATGAGGTCAGCATGCACTAACAAATTTATAAAAAAAAACTTTTTGGTAGATCCAACGGCTGTGATGATTTTGACACTGTTTGAACGAAAAAAAATGATCCAACGGCTGAAATTTAAATCCAACGGTTGAAATAATTTATTTTATTTTTCACTTATTTTTAATTAATATTTTTCTCAAAATTTATTTTTAATGAAATTTATTTATTTTTACATCGAAATGTGTATTTTTTTATTTTATAATTAATCAGAGAAAAAATTTAAAGGAAAACATTACTTATAATAATTTAATTAATGTTTTACTAAATTGATATGTAAAAAAATGTGTTGAATGTATTTTATTGACGGTGTTGGAATGCAGAGAATAGGAGTCAAAACACTGTTTTCATATCGACGGAGTCCATTATTAACATTTAGACTCTTGCACCACTCCAAATGGTCTTAGGTTCAAAATTGAGCACGAGCAGTTTAAAAATAACTTGTTCGATAATAACCATAACCACCTGTAATCTTTTATTCCTTTCATCTCTTAAAAGGTTGTAAGTAAAATTGTCTTTCTTGATACGATGTATATTGCAAATTTGAAATATTATATTGCAATATGTTAAATAATTAAGTGATTTTTTGTTGCCAATTTTAGTCGCATTTCATTATTAACTAAAAAGATGATAAGGTCTAAATCTTCAATTTATTTTACACGGGAGAAGGGCCAAAAGTGACACTAAGAAGTTCGGACATGACATTCAGTTTTTTGGTGGATCAAGTAAACACAATTTAAAACTTTTACCCTCATATCTAACCACCCACTAACTTCCCCATTCAAACCATCCTTACCCCGTTACAAAGCCCCTTCCCTGTGCTATAACACCACTGCCCCAATAAATTCATCGAACACCACAAGCCCCTTTCCATATACTCCATGTTTAATAACATCCCGACGAATTCCTTCTTCCTTCCGGCGTCGCTAAGGTCTTCTCCGGCGTTCACCTCGTTCTTTCTCTCCCTCTTCCCTGCTCTGTTCTGTTTCGTTTTGCCAGAGTTCCCTGTAGTCTTTCCAAGTTGATTCTTCTCTCCCAGCTTCACTAAATTTGCAACATTCAAGGAGGGGAAATCTTCATCCGATCCTTCCAAGACAGTACCCCACATCTCAATCATGGACGGCTTAACTCTATTAGAGAAGTCCAAGGTATTACCTTTAGGAGGAACATAGTTCAGTTTGATCCCATGTGATGGGGCTCTGTTGTCCTTAAAGAGTGTAGGCCAAGGTTTAACCACATCTTTAGGGACTGTCAAAGCATGCTCTTGTGTAGTTTTAGCAGTAGTTTTAGTTGGCTGCACAATGTCCACCTCTACTACTTTCCCATTATCCATCAAATTATTACTGACAGTAACATTAGGCTCATCATTCTGGGCATTAATAGCATTTTCCTTAACAGTAGTTTGGACAGATTTTTGGACCAGTTTTTCAGCAAAAATCCCTGCACCTTGGACGGAGGACTCAGCCTCAGTAGCAATATCAGCACCTGCAGTAGAAAACGAGGCAGCAGCAACCTCATGTAAATTCGTTGTCTGCTAGAAGAGCAAACCTGGACCTGGTATTTCTTACTGTAGATGACTCGACCTGCTTCTTCCTCACCATAGCCGGTCTCAGCAAGAACGAAGATGAAATGTGATTCGCAGGGCCGGTCTGGGGCATGGGCAAAGGGGCATGTGCCTAGGGCCCATTGCTTCCCTAGGGCCAACAAAATTCTCAATTATATCTATGTTGTAAAAACCGGACCGGGAAGCGACCCGGTTGAGCGATCGGGTCACGGGTCAGCCCGGACCCGGCGGGTCAACCCGGTCAACACCCGGAAAACCCAGTCAACAAATAAATAGAATTATTATTTTAAAATATACAATTTTTAACTAAACATAAAATATACTCCCTCTGTCCCAATATAAAAGGCACACTTTCCTTTTCGGTCCGTCCCAATATAAAAGGCACATTTCCCTTTTTGGAAAACAAAACAGTGCAAAACAGTGCCAAACAGTGTACAAACAGTGCCAAACAGTGTCTAAACAGTGCCAAACAGTGTTCAAACAGTGTTCACCCTTAAAATGTCTAGAAACGCAAATGTGCCTTTTATATTGGGACGGAGGGAGTATATTAAATTAGATGGATATTAAATATCAATATGATGCTTATTAAAAAATGAAATATTATACGGAGTATAAACATTTAACTCATAATATTAGTAATCACATATACTGTATTAATGATGTTATGTTTTTATTGTAATTATTATTAATTAAAAAGTAAGTTTACTCCGTAACAGATACGTAGTATAAGATATACCCCGGAGTATATTAAATATGGTTAAGTAACACATTGTACCAACATTCAAAAGCAGCTTCACGGTTTGATGTCTCTCCTCCCTACTTGCACACCCGGGTTCGAATCTCCCTTGGTGCATATTTTTGAGTTAATTCCGGGTTTTAAGAAAGTTCCGGGTTTGGGCCGTCGCGGGTTACGGTCCGGGTCTGTCGGGTCAACGGGTTTTTCCGGGTTCAGCCACATTTGCGGGTTGGGGTTCAACCGGATTGGACTCCAGGTGACCGGGTTCCGGGTCGACCCGCCCGGTCCAGTCCGGTTCTTACAACATAGAATTATATATATACATGTATATTTTAAATATCTATATACTACTCCGTCCCATAATGGTTGTCCACTTTCAATTTGGCACGATTATTAATAAAGTGGTTGAAAAGTAAAAGTTGTGGTTGAGATTTGAGTATAATAAAGTGAATTGATAAGAACCACATATTTCATCCAAAAAAGGAAACAAGACATTCATTTTGGGACAACCCAAAAAGGAAAGTAGGACAACCAAAATGGGACGGAGGGAGTACTATATAATTTAAAATAAAATAAGACGTATATTTTTTTTTTGATATTTTGAATTCATTATTCAACAACACCTACAAGCTACAAGTCTAAAATTTCGAAACATCCACACCAATTTCTTGGGAACAAACTTCATTATTTCTTTGGATTCGTTAAGGGTTAGCCGGTTAGCGCATAAATGTTTATTATTCCATTTACTTCTCTCATGTAATCCCATGATTCATTGATAGTATATTAGTATTCTATTAATTGTTTTTGGTTCTCTCATGTAAGTGAAAGATTGAATTATAATATTTATAATTTAGAAATTTGCAGTTTATTTTGATCTAGTCAAAACATGTTTTGAAATATGAAAACATTACTTCACAAATGATACTTCGTATAACTTTCACGTCTTTCATTAATTCAATGCAAAATTTTATATCGCAAGTAACAATTGTACTACTTAATCTTACACATATTTTTTTTAGGGATATTACCCGAAATAGGACTAAAAAGGTTTCAAAATTCCAAAATAGGACTGACATGCTTTTATTCCTAAAATAGGACTAATTACTGTCATGTTTTGGCAGTACCAGACTTCAAACATGGCAGTATTTTCCAAACATGGCAGTAATTACTCCTATTTTGGGAATAAAAAACATGACAATCCTATTTTGGAATTTTCAATCTGTTTTAGTCCTATTTCGGGAACTTTCCCTTTTTTTATAAAAAATTTATAGATATTCACACGTTGTCCGCAAGACCTACTTTATGTGTATTGTCCCGGGCCCATAAAATGTCAGGACCGGGTCTGGTGATTCGAAATAATCAGCTGCCCAACCTCTTCCCGCTCAAGAACAGGGTGCGGCTGAGGACGGCGAACACTAAGCACACAAAAAAACAGGGATTATACGCCTAAAACGAAGCAATTAACGAAACACAGCCTGACGGTGAACAGTACGACCAGATCAGATTTTGAGTTGTTGGCCTTAAATCATCATTCCAGTCGCAAATCTGATCTTGGAAATGGACTCAGGAGAGGATTTCGACCACGGAATTCAGTAAAACAACCTCAAACACCACCCAGCCGAAGATCGAGGCATTCCATTCTTCTTCCTGCGTGCGTCAAGAGCTCTCCTTGTTTTTTAAAGGATAGGGGTTGTAGGTTATTGGGGTGGATTGTAATTATTGGGGGGTGATGTTTTAGGGCATGGAAGGGCTTCATAAACGGTGTAAGGCCGTAAGGGTAGTTTGAATGGGAAAGTTAGTGGGTGGTTAGAAATGAGAGTAAAAGGTTTAAAT